AATATCTGTTGGATCGTAATATGTTATAATATCAGCATCAATAAGCAATATAAATATAGTTTAAAAAAAACTACAAAACACGCTTTCATAGCACATCAAACTAAAAAGTGAAAAATAAATATAGTTTAAAAAACTAAAAAACACGCTTTTAAAGCACATCAAACTAAAAAGTGAAAAATAATTATTAATATAAACTGAAAACAATAATGAACGAAAAATACTAGTATTATTGTGAAAAAAGCGTGGGGCGCTTTGTGCCATATTTTTCGTATATCGAGCAACCCACGCTTTGTTCACAATAATACTAGTATTTTTCGTTCATTATTGTTTTCAGTTTATATTAATAATTATTATTTTTCACTTTTTAGTTTGATGTGCTTTAAAAAGCGTGTTTTTTAGTTTTTTTAAACTATATTTATTTGATATTTTTTTTACATATATAGTCTACGTGGTCTTTAAAGTTTAAATTACAATCAACGACAATTATTAGATATTTGATTTCCGATACCAGTGTTAAATTTACTGATTGAAGCTTGAACGACAGATTATTATTTTTAAAATAGTTGCCTTTCTGTTGATTGCCTACGATCATACTTTTAGTTTTTGTAATGTTCAGCTTCAATTTGTTTTTTTCAAGCCATTTAGACACCTGTTCTAAATCATGATTTAATTTTCTTACTAGTTCTATTGGATTGTCGTCGTCAATATAAATTATGGTATCGTCAGTGAAAAATTGATAGAGTACTTAAATATTTTTGCATTATCAAAAATATATATTATAAACAGCAGAGGCTCTAGTATACTTCCTTGAGGAACTCCTACATCTATATTTCGTTCTTTCGACACTACATTTTCACACTTTACTTTTTGTCTCCTGTTATTTAAGTAACACTCAAACCATTTCGATACTACTCCACTGATGCTATATTTACTGAGATTATCTAATAACATACTTCTATCTATCGTCTCAAATGCTCTTTTCAAATCTCCGGTGATTCTCCCATTGTCTTTCGTTTCTTTTCATTCATTAATAACATACTGTAACGCGCCTTCACAATTAAAACCTTCTCTAAAGCCAGACTGGAATTTACTCATTATCTGTTTTTCCAAAATAAAATCTAAAAATTGCAAGTATACTGTTTTTTTCCAATATTTTTTCAAAGGCTGGTAACATATTAATAGGTCTACATTCTTCAGCTTTAATAGTTTTAGATACTTTTTTACCAGTATTATTGTCGACATTTTTAGGGAACTAAACACTTTACCTCTTTACAATGAGCTATTAATTATGTTTAATATTGGGTCTGATAGAATGTCAAAATGATCCCTGTAGAAAGACATATCCATTTCATCTGGACTAGCCTTATTGGTTACCTCAAAAACAATATTTCTTAATTCCATTTTTATTAACATAGAATGAGCGGTAATTTCGTCCATTTATACAGTGTGTCTCAAATTAGATCTTCACCTTTGGGATATTGGAAACTATAAGTGACAGAGGGTGAATTAAATTAGTAAAGTTGTAGCAGTTTTAATACTAATTTTGAATCCATCGATAAATCAAGGCTAACTGCTAACGTTTCCGAGTTATTTCCAAAAAAATTTAAATTTTGTATTTTCGCTCTTGCGAAATATTTTTAAAAAAAATTAAATATATGAAGACTTTACCTTCTAGAGGTAGTTTTTTATGAACGTTTTAGTAATACTGTTAGTTTTTCTTCTAGAATGTTCAGTTTTTGAGGTGCAACCTATCATTTTCGATTTTCTTATCGGCGCCATAATAAATTTTTACGGATTTGAAATCTACATGAAATTCTCGTTCTCCTGATGTATGACATTAATGGTTTCTATTTTTAGTTGGGGAAAGCTGCAAAAAAAAATTATTAGCAATTGGGCGCATCTTGAACAGTGCTTTAGATTTTGTCATTATTGTGATGTATTATTAACTGTAATTAAAAGTTGTTCACTTAACATGAAAACAAAGATCATCTTTTGGTGTCCCAACTAACAATATTTTTGCGGGAGTATGAAACTTATCGACAAGTCCAGAACATTTTATCTCTAGGTCATATGTATGTAATTCTGTGAGTAGCTTTTAGGTAGGCATAACCGAGATCCCATGTTTTTTCAAGAATTATTTTCAACGACGAGTCAATCCTTACAAGAAGTGGAGTTTTCAATGTGCACAATGAACACATTTGGGCCGAAGAAAATCCTCATGCGGAAAAGTAACTCATTATCAACATAAGGTTATCATATTCTTCCTGGTAATTTAAATGGAAAAATGTACCACGAGTTCTTATCAACAAGACTTTTTCAACTCCTAGAAGATGTTCCCTTAGCCAGAAGACATACTCAGTGGTATGTGCACGATGGTGCACCTTCTCATTACAGTCGGCATAGTCGACAGTGCCTAACCGAGAATTTTCCAAATCGCTGAAAAATGATGCCCTGACTGATTGGCTTCCATTGTCACCGGATTTTAATCCCATGGATTTTACTGTATTAATATGCGTAGTCAGTGGATACTGTAGAACACTTGCGCCAAGAATTGTAGATGCCTTTAATCAAGTTACGGAAGAGCGAAAACTGAGTCAGTCTTGTACTCACCATCTGATGAAGCCACTGTGTGGCGAAACAATTGTCACGAGTTAATTAAATTGTGAAAATCAAACATAAGTTTATTTTGTGTTTAACTGAGTTTTATTGTCACTTGAAAAAAGATTGCATCAGTGTATAAGAGCGAATGGTGGACATATTGTAAAATGAAACCAATTAGAATCTAAATAGACAGTTTGTCTTGTTTTTTCTTGCTAAATATATTGTGAAAATAAAATTGTTCATTCTCTCACTATTTCATTTACTACATTTTATATTGAAAAGCGTAATTTTGAAAGTGTATTTTCTTTTGCTTATTACAACCAATTTTAATTTACCTTAGCCCAGTATGGTTCTACCGTAAAAATATTTGACAAGATAAAACGTAAAAATCGCTCCATTACAATTTGTACCAACATTTTATAGCAAATAATGAAATTCAAATCTATTTTACTGAAAAACAGTATGTCCTATGGAAATACAATGGAAGTACCTTTTCTACGTAGGAAACTCTGAAATTTCATAATTTCGTGGCAAAAACAAACAAAAGATACGGACCGGCTCGGTGGAGTAGTTGACTAGAGCGTGCGGTGGCAAGTGTGACTAGATAATCTGTCCATTGTAGCTGCGGGTTCGAATCCAGCCACCGGCACGGTGGGAATGGGAATGGTTGTGTGTCCGTGATTTTTCATGATTGTAGCTCTCGCCTGTGCAGATTCGACTTTGGATTCGAAGGTTGTCTAACTTCTATGGTGTTTATTTATTATTTATTTAAAAAAATTTTAAAGTTGGAGCCATATTTACCCCTGCCCTCCAGTTTGACACACCTCTGAATGATATTTTTTAGATTATTGTGATTCGGTATTGTATAAGAAGGTTATATCATATTTTATATTCGAAAATTCTTATAATAAGGATTATATTTATTTCTTTTCACAATAAGAAAATCAAAGGTAGATATAAAATTTGACATATTTATTTTTCCAATAAATAATATCTTACTGTAACACAATATCTTACCACGTCTTTCAGTAACACAAAAGATTCCACCAATCTTATTTTCACTTTCCATTAGCCTAATGTTTTTCTTTTATATCATTGAGAAACTGTTCTTAGCAGAATGTATATATCAAACCATTATACTAGCTAATGAACGGGCTTTTCATATTGTTTGAGATTCAATAAAAATTCGACTTCCTTTTTATACAGAGAGAGAAAAATGGACTGAAAATAAATGAAATACAATGAAGCAAATAACTAAACTAATTAAGAATTACTTAAATTTAAACATTTCGGCCCACCGAAATGCCACGCGTTTTCGAAAGCAGAAATATTAGAAGTGGGTAAGGCATTCGTTTTAAAAGGCTGTTCGAAGTTTGAACATCGGCCACTCGATCATGTATAAAACAGAAAATTCGTCTGAGGCATCACTGGAGCGGATACGTGGTTTCATCTTTGATGAGAGCAAGAGTGTCCAAGTCAAGAGAGACAGTAGGTTCCAGCCAGTTGCTCCTATCTTGCAAAGTGTATAGGTAGTCACGTTGCCAACGATGGACGCCAAAAATCTTGTTGCATTCTTTCTAGTAGTTGCCAGCGATTTAAGCGATTAATATTGAGAGGTGTTAAATCCTCGTTGGGGCGGCGCGGTTCCAGGTCAAAGGTCCAAGTGTCAGAAAACAACCATAAATGGCCATCTGGCACATTGCAATAACACATGACGTATTGCCATTGTCACAGACAAAATCCAAAACTTTTGGAAAACTAGAAACTGAACGGTTTGAATGCCAACGCGACAATATTTTAAATGAACTTGTCCAATATGAATTAAATTAAACTACTATCACGAGATAAAAGAAAGAGATTTTTTTATCGTCAGAAAAAGTGGAATGTTGAAGTCTATGTCCTACTCGTAATATGTCGTGGGCATCCAAAAAAAAAAAAACTTAATTTTTGAAAATATTTTAGAAACCTTTTATTGGATTTTATTTTATTAATTTTCTCAAAAAATACAAAATTTTGTGTGCGCTTAAAAAAGTTAACTTTTATTTAATGCATTATAAGAAATTCCATAAATTCAATAAATACTTTGACACATAGATCTATAGTAATTAATAAATCACAAAACATAAGCAAGAAAGCGTTTAAGAGAATTTTGATTCTCAGAAGTTAATTTATTTTATTTTCAATGGCATGTTTACTTAAATATTTTCTTACATGTTTTCTTAAAATGTTTTCTTAACTATCTTTCAAGTTACCGAAGTAACTCCCAGCAAACCCTAGATTTTGTGTTGAGTAAAGAGAGACGAGACTCTACAGTTTATTGTGGAATCTGAACCACATCTAAGGCATCGATAGTTCTCTCCCAACTTAATCCGAAACAAATTACAAACAAAATTTCTATCTTGCTCCGGGATGGATTAGAACCATCGGTATTTGGTACCGAGTAAATAGCTATAAACGCTTTACCCACTCGGCCACCATGCAAACCGATAACATTGCGATAGTAACCTTTTATTTTTACATCGTTTGATAAAAGCCTTTTATGCGATTATGCAATTTATGCTAGTCGTTAGTAAACAACTAACAATGTTAAGCGGATGGCCTTCAGTGAAGAGATTAAATAGCGAAATTTTTCAATAGCAGATATAGAATTGTTATCATGAACTAAATATATGTAAATACGTGGGGAATTATTTTGTATTACCCTTGACTTTAACTAGGTAAATTAACTGGCGACTGGATAAAGGTTTCATCCCCTAGTTCTGGATTTTCAGAAAATATGTCAGAATAATTCGCCTTAATTTTATAAAACATAGTATCAAATGTGAGTAATGCGTCAATGGCAATCTCAGATTCTTCCTCATCATTAATAATTAAATTAATTAAAGCACCGTGTTGTTTATTATTAAATTCAATTTTAACTTTCTCAATATAAGTAAATCTAGCTTTAAAAATGTAATATGCACGGAAATCTAAATTTAAAAAGTTTAAGAGAAATGTTTAAAATTTTAAGTTAACTGAAATATATTAAATTCTATTTATTAATTAATTAAACTAACTGAAATTTACATAAAACTAGGCACACATTAATGACAAATATTAGATTATGCTTTCATAAAAAATATCGAAAATTGTTATTTATTATTTTTGGAACACACTGTAATAATATAAATACAGAATGTTTCACATTGCACTCGAAATTTGTAAATTAATTGTGACGAGTAAAACAAAGCAAAATTTATGAATGACGTACAGGGTATCCTATTTTTATAGTATTTTTATATAATATCATGAAAATATATGAAAAATTTTAGGTTAAAATTAAACTTTATTTATTGTTATGTTGTAAATATTAAATTGCATCAACATAGTATAAGAACTCCCCTTAAGGCGTGTTGGTTTTACTGCTAGGTTTCATAGGCCCGTTCCTAGGGCGGTGGCTCTAGGAGGGCGCTTCAAGTCCAGCTCTGTATTAATTTTAGAATGACCTCAAAAATACAAATATAACATTTTTGTAACAGGTTTCTTGTTTACTTTTATTGTTATATTAAAACTAAACAGGAAACCCAATAAGGTGGATACCACAGAGCCTTCATAAATGATTAAAAACCACGTGATCAATTGGTACCTTTTAACTCGTGATTTTGTGTCTTTCATATTATGGCAGTATTTGATGAGGATTTTTACACATAACGTATGTGTCTAAGGAAACGTTTTCAATGATCTTTTGCTGACGGCAGGACTTGACGAGGCAGTTAAAGGAAATTAATTGGTCACGAGATTTTCGATCATTTATGAAGACCCGTTACAATTGTTCGCTGTTAGTTTTTAAGTGCTCTGTGGTAGGACGCGAAGATAGCCGAGTATCAGATTTATGCGAATGCTGCCTGCGCAGAAGGAAACTTATGCAGAAAAACAAAAGTGGAAAAAAAATATCAGAATTAAGTACCTTTTCCAGCCTAATGCAGGTCCAAGCTATAATAGTAGACAAAACGATTTTTTTAATTTTCGTGTTGTTCCTTATTAATAATCCTATTATTTTAAGAGAAGGGGAGCATAAAATTTACCTGGACCTAGGGCCGATTTATATTTAAATCCAGTACTGTCTTTAGGTATCTTGATTATTCTTTTTCCTAGTTAAAAATTAATAATTTTTAGATCCGTAATCGTCGTTGAATTTGCTTCTAGGGTAGTACGTTAAAAAAGTATACTTTATAGAATTGCTCCTGCCTTCATCCGCAGTTATTGATTCTGTGCACATATCGACTTATTTTATTACTGTTTAAGGTTGGTTTAAATTTATTCTGTATTTCAGCTACTTTCGCTTGATTTAGTCGAAACGTTTTAAATTCTTTGCCGTCAAACATCTCGAATGGGTTATTTTTATCACGGAGACAAATCTTGGGGGAGCTACTATTTCATCGTACTCTGATTCCATTCCAGATAAAGATTATAAGTTATCCATTATTTTTTTTCTTTTTATAAATTTAGTAACCTGTTTCTATTAGACATCAAAGGATTCGTTATTTTAACTTAGTTTTTCCTGAAAAGTTTATATTAATAACAAAATGAGGAATCTCTGTCAGAAATATCTTTAATCCGAATTTCCACGAGCTAATTGTCCGTTAGAAAAGAGTATCTTGCAATTAAATTTTTAAACAAACCAAGATTATGCCTTGATTATACTTGTTTTCTTTTTTGAGTAAGCTTTAAAACCAGAAATTATTTCAAATTGTACCAATTACCATTCTCAAGATATTTACTAGACAGATATCATTAGGGAAATAAGCCAATACAGAATTTATAATGACCGGTACAAAAGAAAAAGGACAGCAAAGAAAATTGATATATTTTTAATTTTTCTCAGTATAAATAAAACGAGTAAAATTGTTTCTTGGTGCATTTTCTAAACCTTTTCGCTTAAAAAAAGAATAGTTATTTTAGAACGATAACAGTATTTAAGATAAAAAGGCGTCCGACGAGAATTTGGACACATGATATGAAAAAAGGATAGGCGATTATAAAATGAAATTTCTTTATTTAATGAGTATTACCTCCCCTAACTCTGATGACACTCTCAAATCTACGTTACATACCTTGAATCAATTACGTGTTGCATGGCTTCTTGAGAAATGTTATCCCACTCTTCCTGTAGTGCATCTCTAAGTTGCTGCAGTATTAACAACTGCCCACAGCGTTGCCTAATCCAACTTCGCAGCATATTCCGTACGTGTTCTATGGGATTTAAATCAGGACTACGTGCTGGCTAGTCTAGAGCTTCATAACCGACATCTTGGAGGTAGTTCCTAACAATCCTGGCCACGTGCGGACGAGCATTTTCGCGCATTAAAGGAAACAATTCACCGATAAATGCCGCAAAAACCACCACATTCTCTTCTGAAATGTCATTAATGTACCTTCTAACCATTAAAGCACCTCAATCTACGAACACAAGCTCTGTGCGAGCCGCGTAAGATATTCCAGCCCACATCATTACAGACAGACCCACCACCGAAGCTCACCCTCTCACTAAAGTTTCATTGCGTGTATCTTTCTCCTCACCTTCTTAACACTCTCTCTCATCCATCTGGAAACTTCAGGGCAAATCGGGACTCATCGGAGAAAAGAATATTGTTTCACTGCCTGATGTTTTAATTGAGAGGTTCGCGTTCAAAATTGAGCGTGGCCACAAGATAATTCCGGAGAAGCTCGTGGCCCGTTGTTGGTCTTCTAGCAGATAAAATTGCTCCTAACAGTTCTATTACTGGAATTAACCTGACGCACTCCTTGCAGTTCATTTCTTACTTGAATGGCAGTCTTATGTCGATCTCTTAGTATAAAACTTACGATAAATCTATCATCGCGAGGAGTTGTGCTTCGATTTCTTCCAGATCCCAGCCTTCTACAGTATTCACAGGTTTTTTGAAAGCGAACAACTGCTCTGTAGACACTGCATCGAGGGAAACCGAATATTTCAGCGACTTCGCGGATGCTAAAACTAGCATCAATTAAAGCAACTGTTCTAGCGGAATCTTCCGAGGATAAGGGTACTTCCGAAAATTACCAGCACTTAAAACAATCGGCAGAATGCAAGCCAATACTAAAGAATGATTTCTCATAGTGATTAAAAATGTTAAAATTCGTCAGTTTTTAAAATGATAATGAAAGGAAGAAATATGGAAGAAAAAAATGGACAAAGAAACTGCAAGAATGCAAAACAAATGATTCTACATATTTTGTGTACACTGAGAACAAATTTAATTAAAAATATACCATTTTTTTCTTGCTGTCCCAGGATTTGTGCTGGTCAGTGTATATACTCGTATATATGTATAAAATAAAATATCGTCGCCAGAATATCATGATTAATTACAGTTTCTTATAACAAAACTTACACAAAAAAAATTAAAAGCATTGATCGATGATATTTGAATTTAACATAGACGGCTTAGTTCATTAAGTGTTATAACAACAGATTCAGTTGTCCAGAATAATATCCAGGATGACAATGAGATAAATGAGGCTTTGTTGTACCAAATTGTTATGTCTCATACCAGCTTATAAGCTTTATATAATTGAACATTTTTAAAACATTACATGTAAAAGAATTTTGAATGTAAATAATTGAAATATAGGAATATAGTACGGACATTTGAAAAGTTAATTTCCTTTCCCATTAATCATTTTTGATGAATTATTTTTGTGAATAGTTTTTGTTGCAATAAATATATACGAATACTAGCCTGAACGTAGTGGTAACCTTTCATATCTTTCTACATCTAGATTAAATGCCCTAACAAAAACCCAGCTCAATTGTGTTATCTGTTGTCTGAAATTTCTCGTTTTAAATATTTTATATAGCCAATTTGTTTTTCTTATCCATATAATAATGAATCGATAAAAAACTGAAGTGTTAAGGTACATAAAAAAATTATCTTATGAAATAGTTAACACAAAACCGCGTTTAAAAATCTGAAAACTATACCTAATTTTTTAATAAATTCCTCGAATTGTTTTGTTGATTGTACTATTTTTAAACTTTACGTTTCATTAACATTTTTCTATTTCTCATATATCATATATTATTACTATACTAATTTTCAAGCACTTTACATAATGTTTTGAAAATGTAAAAAAGGCAAGTCTTAATACTTCACTGTCAACTTCAATACAGTTCCTAAAATTGCGTGTCACACAAAAATTCTGCCTTAACTCAACTAGACATCTTCCCTATTTAAATTACCATTATCGATACAAAATGTTGTGACGAGAATTGAAATATTATTTCTACATTTTTCCTATTCTGAAACTTAGAATATCAGTATCATTATTTATAAAAATGTCCACAACTTTTTTAAAATTACCGATATGATGCACTTAATAAACGGTAATTTGCTAATAGGAATAATTCCATTTAATGAGACTTTTTTGGGCCTTTCTGTATGTGACCATATACGATGGAAAAGAAATCTTTGTGATATTGA